GGGGTTTACATGCCTTTTCTGCAGCGGTAATCTCGATGCTTCCATTTTCGCTATCATTTACTCATCGTTGAATTAGGTTCTACTTGCGGCATTAGTGACCCGTTCCCCCGGATGTAGCCTTGCCCAGACCGCTCTGCTCAAACTTGATATCGTGTGCACTTGTTTCGAGCATTGCAAGGATAATGTTCGCATGTCAACAGCACTGGTATGTCATTACTTGATGCAAGGTCTTTCCTACTTATCTGGAGGTGTCTGTAGCCTTTGGTAATGAAGTTTAGGGCAGTCGCAAGGAAAGCCTTTGCCAGTTTTACTAGTGGGCAAGATTCTACACCTACAGAACAGGACGAAGAAGAGTTATCGATTCTCAGTGGAAATAGTAATTTGGTGTATTCAACGTCAAGATCTCAAGAGAGCTCGCCTGAAGATGGGCCAGAGATGACTTCAAACGGGGATACCAGCCTTTACAATAAACTCCTTGAACATTTCAAGGGTGTGGAATGGGATCAGGCTCACTATCAGCCCTCACCGGAAGAGATTCAATCATTTACCCAGCACTCGATGACTCAAGCAAATAGTGGGCTATTCAATGGGAATCCTGCATTCAAGGGGCCCAGTGTCCAAACCATCAGCGGCCTTGATGAGTTTGACTACGGGATTTTTAACCCTCTACCTGCTTTGGCTCCAGGACAACTGCCAATGCCAATCGACGGGGTCAATTACAACTTTAGCGTACAGCAAGAGCAGCAGTCTGATGACCCCTTGGAGTTTCTGTCGAAACAGAATCCAATACCGACATTTGGTCAAAGCTGGGATTACTCAGCTGAATGAAGTGGTTGAATTATCCGTCATGTACACTTGTTTACAATAAATTGAATCTATGCTAAAGTGTTTGCCTTTTGAATCGCCTCCGCGAGGACACCAGCAAAGTCATTAGTGTTACGACCGTTGCTGAGAGCCAGAGCATCCAAGGGGACCATGTTGTGTTGGTAATTGGGAGCATTCGTATTGGCGTGAGGGCTGGATGGGCTTTCAATGACTCGGAACTCAGGAACAATGGAATTTTGAGCAGAGGTAATAAAGGCTGATAGAAGCTCTTCATACGTGAAAAGCAATGAATCGGTCTTGGGAGCGAAAGGATTGAAGTCGACCACATGAGCTCGTTGTAAATCCCGTGTTAACAAGAGATCGAAGATATCTATAGCTATATCAGCTAGCGTCTCATCCGAGTAATAGGTTGACTTGCAGCTTTTGTCGAGTCCTTGGGGTTCGCGAATTTTTTCCGACCAGAGGTTATTTATCGTACTTTGGATCAGAGTATGCGTGGATTTGTCGTTCAGGAATTCATAATATACCATATCCCGTTGACATGACCCTTATGAAGACAATAGTTGGCACTAGGAAGGTCATGATGTAATGAGACTTACCAATGAGTTTTCCTTCTCTGACGAAACACCGTACTTCACGGCTTCGTTCAAGTGGATACCATTTCCTAAGAGCCAACTGAAGATCAGGTGCTTTAATTTTCCACTCCTCGTCTTCAACGCCCTCAAAAGTCATCGAAGGGGTTAAATCGTGCTGAATGAAGTCGGAGGCTTTAAGTGACAGGTAAACGTCTGCTGGTGACATACACCGCAAAAATTCTGACGTAGACAGTATCCATTGTGCATCCTATTGTGATTAATGAGGCGAAGTGTACTCGGTAGTGGACTAGACATGAACACTGACCTTGGGTGAAGACCAGTTCAACTTCGGAAATACAGAGCCGTATTCTCTTATTACGGCTCTTATTTCTTCATCAAGTTTAGGAAAGGCGAATGTTGTCCTCGATGGCGCATCTGAATCATCATCTTCCTCTACCTCTCCATCTTCGTTGCTCTCATCGTCACTCGCGCTATACTGGGATTAGTGGAATCCTTGTCTAGATCATCGATCACATACTATCCATTAGAACCTTTAGGTGCGAACACGCCATCTGATTGTAGATATGTGAAGAAATCACTTGGTAGTGAGGTTATAATAGTGGATTTAATGGATATATGAGATAATCTAGGGTACCACGACGAGAATTGGCAATCTAAGATGTCTTTGGTTGTTAGCTTTGGGAACAAAGGGGGGTAAGGCTCCAAATGGTCGGAGGCCATAGCTTGAAGACAACGGTTTTGCCCGAACCACATCACCGGCTTCAAGTCACTTGTTTCTCTGAAAATTTGAAACTTAATTCCCTTTTCTTCTAAAGACATACGGTTTTTTCTGTGACCCCATTGTGACTTTCTGGCATCATCGACGCCATTAGTAGACGATGTCTTTCTTCAACTCGATTGGGTGAGCATCTATGAGGCCTTGTATCCGACTTGAAAGACTAATGTCAATCGAATAAAGTCGGTCGATGGGTCGTAAGGCTGGTCCTAGTACCCCTACCGCACCAGTGCCAAGTCACCCAGCTATTCAAGGACATTCTTCCAGTGCAGCCAAAAGAACGGAACATGAAGACAAACAAATTTATATGCCACCTTCTCAGCCAAAGCTTTTCTTGTCGAGACCATTCGTTGACGCTGCCTTGGTCAAAGGAAGCTTGAAAACTTTGGTCTCCCTCCCACGATATTTGGATGTAATGGAATGGGTGGCTATGAACAGTAAGTAGATATCATACCTATAGAACCACCTGATCTGAGTATGTTGGGGTTGGTTCCAGTGTTTGATTTTTACAATAATATAAACCTCTTCTACGGCGCAATCGCGGAACGATGCACATCCAAAAACTGCCCGACAATGACAGCCGGTGACAAGTATGTTTGACATCTGATATACCTTCTAAGCAAGACGTTCATTAACCCAATTCATTTACTTTCAGGCTTGTATACACTTGGGTCGATGCGAACAACAAGCAGGTAAAATTACCGGCCGCGACATACATTGACTTTGTCTTCACTTGGGTCCAGAATTTACTGGAGGACCCATCAATTTTCCCGACCAAAGCCGGCCATCCATTCCCAGCGAATTTTCCGGCGACTTGTACGGGTTTCTAATTTTACTACACTTTGTCTTTTGAAGCTGATATCAAATTGCGTT